TCTCTCTCTCTCTCTCTCTCTTTCTCTCATAACTTGAAAATAGTGCACAAAAAAATGAGGGCTTTTTTTTAATTAATGTAATTTTCAAATTTCTCTTAAATACTTCAACTATATTTGTTAGATAAAATGTATGTGCATGTAATATACTCAATATATAATTCAAACTGTAAATGTAAAAATATGAATTTTGAAGAAATAATCATCATTTTTTGGTATCTCTAATCTTTTCACGATCATCTCGACCAAATTTTCGATCATCTCGACCAAATTTTGAAATATCATTTATATGAATTAAATATGACTGGATATCTCTTCTTGTTGATCTATTTTCCACTTTTACATTTTCAGCTCTGATGCACTGCCAATGATTGCTTATGCCTATTTGCATAATACCTGTCATTTATCATATCATTTATCACTTCTGATTTTCGTATTACAATTCGTACCACCATTTTCTCTTTTCTTATAACTAATCTTTCAAATTCTGAATGTAAACTTAGAGGCAAAAAATTTTAATACTTCGTTGATACAAGCCAATATTTTTATGATTTTAACTGTCCTAATTATTAAAAAAGCATATTAAATTGTGCAGGCATTCAAGCATTTCAGACTTTTTTCACCTTTTTTTTTGAAATTGTTGTACGCATCTATGATTTTTATCATATTTTGGAATAGATTTTTTTTAGATAGCAAAATCTTCTTGCGGAAATTATCTATCAATTCATCCATACATTCATTGATTTTCTTTTCTCGCACTTAAAAATTTTAATCCATGAATGTATGACAGATTTACATTTCAGAAATTAAATTAATTTCACAATTTAATACATCATTCTTTCATTCCTTTTTTTACCAAAAACAGAGGAGTCGAATCCAACAAAATAATAATATTTGCTACATTTGAAAAAAAATAATTTAAAAAGTTTAATCAAGTAATAAAATAATGATTTATAATTATAAAATATTATATTATTATACCATAATAATAACTAATCCAACAATATTATTGTTCATAACAATATCCCTTAACAAAATTGTAAATAAACAAAAAAAGCAAGTAATTATTTGAAAAGAATCTTTAACAATCATATAAATCAATAATTTAATTCTTGAATATCAGTTCGTACATTGCATATTCACCAGACAATACATTTAAAAAATGAAAAATTTCAAAATATTAATTTACCAATTGTTTTCTGTTTGTTCATTGAAATAATTATAAATTGCACAAATTAAATAAAATTACTTTGTTTTTATAAATAATCAATATTACGACCTTTATTTATTTCATTTTTCTTTAATTTCTTACATTAATATATCCTAAAATATGTCGATTAATAATTTCCTAACAGCGATTGTTAAAAGATTAAACATCTCAATCAAATTATTTGATCTTTTTCTCTTCCTTCTTCTCTCACTAAATTATTAACTCAAATACCGAAATCAAAAATTCAATTTACAATCCACTACTCATTTATTATCTATAAATGTTTGCTATGATAAAAAGTTTTCCATTGCAAATAAATGTTTTTTTTAGCAAATTTTTTTATCGAATTTTTTTCTAAGTTCATAATGAAACTTAAAAATTTACAAATGTAATTTCATTTTTCATAAATCTTTTTTCTGTTTCAAGATAGATGCAAATATTTTCGGAATCTTTTATAT